CCTCGGTGTTCCTCGTAAGTCACCAGACCTATTTAAGTACTTTTTTAAAATTTGTAGATATATCTACTTACGTATTGTACAGACCGCATATATCAGTATTGACATATTACGGGCCCAGTAATCTCAATTTAATTTACGTTGATTTTACTTTTGTTTTTTTTAAGTTTTTTTTACCATACACATGTGGATAATCCTGTTGATGTCGAAGACAGCCTTGCCACTATAACTGGTAGAATGTTCGTAAAAAATTTTACTTCCGTAAAATTCCGTATAAAATGAACAAAATAAATGACACTTCACGGAATTCAGTCACAGATACCACCACCAAAAATATACCCAATACGTGTTTTGCCTCTCTACGAGGCATCCTCTGGGGTGTAGGCTATATTCAATGCAGCTATTCGCGGTTCGCGGTTCGCGATTCACTTTTAGTGACTCAGTATTTACTCAGCATAGAGGTTGCCACTAGAGATGGGTCGACAACGCGTTTACCGTTCACGAAACGCAAACCGTCCATCGTCGACGGTTAACTAGTCGATCAACTAATTAAATTCGTCAACTAGTCTATAATCAACTTGGGTTGATTTTAGTTTTATGGACGATTAAAGAAACTGCTAACTGAATCAACAAAGTAGGTATTGAGAAATGAACTATTGTATTGGAAGTTAAACATTTTTTCAGGATCCGAATTCGGATATAAAAAGAGCCCAAAATATATTTTTATTATGTATTGTCACCTGACGTCGAAAAATCCAGATATTTGTTTTTACGATATGTTAGTCGATAATTACAATATTTCACGGAATTACTTTATGATAATTTTAGGGTATGTAGAAGTCAGCTAAAACAACCGCTGCGCTGCCTGGTACAAAAATCTCGAACTAATACGGCGGGTTATTGAAGTAACTAAATAAAAACGGGGAAAAAATTAAATTACTTCGTAACGAATTAACCCATGTCGTTGTCGATAAATTCAAAATGTGTGTAATTTATGGTTTTAACGAACGACTAAGTCGGTTGGCCAATAATTTTCAAATATCATAAATTATGAATTTTTTCATGGTTATCCGGCCGAAAATTACGTTTTCCAATTTTTTGTCTCTGTAACTAAACATATTTGTCACACAGGTGTTCTACTCTCGCATTTGTATTAGTTCAAACTATAGGAATCTAGAAGATAAATGTCACAAAATTTGGGGTTTTTAAAACATTGTGAATCGCGAAAACCTAAGAACGATATTATGTATTACTGTATATTACACCGTAGTTACAATCAATAAATTAAAATAATAAATTAAAATAATAATTAGCCTAATTACTAATTTGTAATTAACAAACCGTAAAAAACGTAACCTTGCACACAATTTATCACACGAATTACTAATAAAAACATAAGACACATACAAATATAGATACATACAAAAGATACAATAGAGTTTAATTCTTTTACTTTATTTACTTTCAATTCATAATGTAATAATAAATAGCATACAACAGGCCTATCTCACTTCATCGCACATATTCAAATAACAACTTACATGTACTGAAATTAAAGTTCAAAATTATTTGTTTATGTAAGTCTACGTATAATTCGACTAAGTTCGCGTATCGTCTAGACGCGTAGAACATTGATTAACGTGTTAACGCGTGGACTCTCCGTTTAACCGTCTACGAAATCTACTATAGTTAACGAATTCAACTAGTTGATCGAAGAACGGTTCACCGTAGAAACGTCGATTGGACATGAACAGTTATCTCAACTAGTCCGTCCATTCAACGCCCATCTCTAGTTGCCACCACTCCTTGCCATCTTCGGCGGGCAAGCGACGGCGACTTGTCGATCTAGTGTAAATGCGCCGTTACGGTAGTCTTAGTGTTTACACTGGATAGGTTGCTGCCTTCAGCAGGCAACCGAAGGCAACCTGTCGACCTAGTGTAAACGTTCCATTATGGTCGCCAAACGACTCATTGTTTACAATGGGTAGGTATGTTGCCGCTTCCGAAGGGCGACCAGTCGACCTAGTGTAAACGCGCCAAAACGTTTTGGCGCTCATGCTCACTCCTAACCCTAAGAATAACGGTAAGTGGGCAGAGTAAAACACAGAAAAACTTCAAAAACAATACCTCTTTTGGTATTTCACAACTTCTCTTATCGACTGTACTTTAAATAATTTATTTGAGTCTCTTACCCTTTGATCGTATCTGTTGCGCGATATTTATGTTAATTAACTAAGTACATTGTGTATTAATCGATCTGCTACTAAATTGTCAATGCTGGTGAGTGCTTTCAACGGTATAACGGTGCAACTACGTGTATACATGTTGGTTCTTTATATCTCGCCTGTCACTTCGCCTCCAGTAAGACAATTCAAAGCAATTTAACATTTACACAAAACAATAAATATAAATACAAACGGTATAACAGAACGACAAAAAACTTTGTTACCAATTTTTATATAAAAACCGTTGCGGCGAACAGGCTGTGTGTATTTTACAGTTTGGTTGCACAGCAATTAAGTATTCTTATCTCTTACTCATACTTTTTTACAACTTGACTCCTTGAATTTCTAGAAATTACATAGCAGCAGTAGAGCTCCTCATAAAAGAGTTCATTCAGGGACGTACTGCCATCTCACCTATTTCTCCCGCCAAGCAGTATTATGAGCATTACCGTGTTCCGGTTTTCAAGGGTGCTGGTGAAATTATGGGCACGTGGGACTTGTCAACTCTTGTCTTAGGGTGACGGGCGGAGTGGCAGTGCCCCTCAGATATTTTCGATTAAAGGAACTGCCACTATCGCTTTAGTATCATAAACAAAACTCGCAACTGACGAACAGAAACAGTCACACGGCAAAATGCGAAATCAATTTGTGGGTACTGTAGGTACCTACTTCTTATTGATTGGCAATGTCAATTAATGCAATTGTGTAACGAACTTATTCATGGATAATTGCTCTTAGCTTTGCACTGTGCAGTATTAGCTGAGACACTTTCACCATAGGTTGTAAAGCAGGATCTTGTCGTGGAAAATTCTTTACTAAAAGATAGCTTTTAATTGTCCATATATTTGTAAACAAAAAAATAAAAAACGAAGTACCAAATACGCAAAAGTAATTAAGAATGACAAAAATGGAACAATTCCCAAAAGACAAAGTTTACGAAATCAACATGAAGGACATAGAAAATGTGGCAAACAGTCTTTACGTGAGAGACTATTACTTAAAAGACTTTAAATACTTAAGCCCTGACGTTATAAATATGAAAACAAATAAAGTGTTTACTAAAGTAGAAACTGATGGTTTTTGTAAGAAAGTGGACTGCAGACATATTATAAGAAAATGGTTTAATGAAGTAATGGAAGGATGGAAACAGTTCTTGTATGAAGGATCCTTGCATGGAGTTAAGTAAGTGAACACTTTGCATTTGATATTATTTTCATAGAACAGTGGAACAACATTTTAACCGATAAGCCAGGCGGTATATATTCAAAGAAAGAAAGAGCTAACACGAAATATTATTGAAATTAATTCCCACTCTTGGGTTAATAACACCACATCAGCAAAATGACTACTTTTCTGGAGAGAGGTGTAAAGATTTAATGAACAAAATAAATCGATAACTTTTTGTATTTAAGCTATGAGATTTCACATATTCATTAATAAATGCCTTCATATATGTATTATTTTCGTTTTTATTAGGTTCGTATTATTTTCACGACTTTTTGACGTATCATCATATGTGGTTTTATTCATTTATCAGTCAAGTATAACCGTTTAGAGTTGGAACATTCCGAGACTTCGACCATGTGGCCCCACTAACAAGCGTTATGGACTGAATATTAAGCAAAGTTATTGAAACTATGTTTATTAACATTACATATAAATATTTCTGTACCTGTCGTAAATTTCTTTGTTATACACTACTACAGATGGGCACGTTCATCGTGTCTTCAAATAATATTATGAATTTTCTCTTACATTAAGGCTTTCTCAGAATGAAAATAAACACTAAATATACACTATCTAAAGATTATCTTCATTACCAGGTACATCTTCGAACCTACCTTCAGTCGCAAAGAACGCGTCACCTGGATAATAATAGTCGTCATCAGCATTTTCATCTGCACTGGCGTTATCATCCAGTTGTTCTCAAAATCCTCTTCCACACCTTTCGTTAATGTAATAGATTCCTTGCCTACTCCTATTTGGGCAGTGCCGTTTCCAAGTGTGGTGATCTGTCCACATTTGCATGTCCAGCTGTCTTATAAGAACGTAACTGAGCTTGAAGAGTAAGTTGTACTGTTGTTATTTGTCTTTGATTATATTTCAAGGATATAGATTATAGATACACGTTTCCTTAATTGTTAAGAGAATTGTAATTTGCAATCCCAAAAATGTGACGACTATAAAATAAAATGAAGCACAAGAAGAGTTTTGTTACATTTATGATGTTTTTTTTTCATGTTTCTTGAAGCGCCGTTATAACTATACTGGTTTTTGTGAAGCTTACAGAAGTTCTTCGCATCACGTATATGTCCACAAATGATGAGAGACAGCATCGTAAAGGAGGGACGATTATCTTCCGATGAAATTCATATGCTGCAAGATTTCATTGTTAAGGTAAATGATATTGGTTAAATATGATCTTTTGTGTCATTTTGCTTATTCACTACATAAAACAACTTATAGCAACGTTGATTAAAAAAAGAAGGTTGTTGCTAAATGTTTCAGAAAAACAGAAAAGTGTTGTTGTACATGTTACGAGTATATGTTGTTGATTATTCTTTTTGTCCCATAGGCATCCCCAAAATGTAAAGACGTGGTGAAGCTGTGTCATTGGCGTAGCATTGACCAGCACACACACTGGAAATCTGAAGAGTGCTGCGACACTTTCTTCAAATCTATTTTTACTAACTACGGCCTTTGCTTTACTTTCAATAGCTTACCCCTTAATGGAATGTAAGGCTTTTAGAGTTTTAATAGTTTCTTTTGTCTTGACACCTTTTAAGCACCTCGCACCGAATACTTTGTGGTGTTTGTATAGCAGTTTACTCTTGATTGCAGGTCTAACGAAACCATACACTGGCAACAATCGTTTAGTCCAAACGTGACTCCAGCCAAAATTAAGTGGAATCTGGACGATGGGTATCCTAAGGTTTTCCCTCCAGATCAGACGACGCTTCCATTTCGGGTTATGGCGTCTGGAGAAACCAATGGTTTGGGTTTGGACCTCTTTTTAAACACCAGCGAACATCAATTTGCTTGTGATGGTAGTAGCATAGGTTTCAATGTAAGTATTAAGCAACGTTTTGCTAAAATCGGCAATTTTACACGTCTATTGAATCGACTTTGTCATGTTGCAGGTAATAATTAGATCTCCTACAGACCACGTGTACACTAGCACAGTTCTTCGTCTACCCATGGAGAGAATGACAACAATCGAAGTGAACCCTATCACATATAAAACAGATGCCAATCTTCGACAACTGTCGCCAGATAGACGGCAATGTTTCTTTCAGAACGAAAGAAAACTCTTCTACTATGAATTTTATACAGATAGCAATTGTAAATTTGATTTACTTCTAAGGGAAGCTGTCAAAGTGTGTAAATGTGTACTATATAATTGGCCTAGTAAGTATTTGTACATTCTGAAAAATACGTAGTTACGAAATATGTAAGTATCAAGCTTTATGATGACATCTATAAAATATATTATCAGTCTCCTTAACTTTTGGCTACCTATTTTTGCTAATCGCTGCTCAATGCCTATTTATACTTGACTTAAAAATTTCTTGCTCCAGATTGTCTGTATCATACTTATTGTTATTGTTTTAGGAAAATTTGTCTCGGATCCAGTTTGCTCGACTGCCGTGGATTTTAACTGTATAAACAGTGTCAAAGGTACCAACGGTTATCGCAAAAAATCATACTTTTCAACAAATATTTTCCTAGATCGATTTATTCGTTTCATTATTGGTTTTCAATGTCAATTTTTGAGGTTGTTTATACGAACTAGTTCTGTGATTGCAGCAAAAGTAGAAGAGCAGTTGATCTATGCGTATTACGACGACAGCGAGGAACAAAGAAAGCCTAAGTCGACTTCCACTTCGTGCCATCCGTCTTGCAATGACTTCATGTATTCCAGCCAAGTTTTTTATTCGGATCTGATTAAAGAACCGGGGAATGAAGCACCAGAGTGGGGCAGACCTAAGCCGTAAGATATCATCGGTTAAATTTGAACACTTCGTAACTCCGTGTTTGAACAAAATAATTTTTTACTTTTCAAGCGCAATATCGGGCAATTAAAGCTTATAATGTAATTTATAGATACTTTTTAAGTTATAAAATAAAGGTATAATCAAAGTTATCTTATAATTATTCTTAGTAACTCTATTTTTTGTGCCTACTCGATAGTTTACATTAATGGACGACAGATAGCCGATTAAAGAAAAGTTAGAATTATTTATATTTACTAAGTGCCACTAATTAAAGGTTCTTCTATTGCAGAGGTTCTCAAGTTTTTTGTCTCGTAGGCAACGTGGCAATTTTTTTCTGTTCTGGGTAGACCCCCTGAATTTCTAATATGGATTTTTTTACAAATTCATCAACTTCAAATATGTTTTTAATAGCTGGCACAGAGCTATTCACTTTGATAGGTTTAATTGTGTACCTAGTGAGAAACTTTATAAAAAAACATATAAGTAGATATTAAGTTTTATACAATTATCTAACCCAATATCTTGTTTGTTGTGAAATGTTTACTTCATGGGTAATTTAAGTGTCTATTATAAGAACCTATCATGTATATACATACACAGCTATAATGTGGATTATTTCATTTTTGGAAAGCTAAAATTTTGGTCACAATCTGCCTGAATCGTGGACCACCATTACCGTCTGACGCACCTCCTTTTGTTATGGATTTCTTGCAGATTACAGTGCAATGGGCGCAGGGGGTTTATAGAGACCGCTTTGGGAATCATTGTTCTTTTGGCTTCCCGTCAGCATTTAAATGGTGAATTTCCAGGAGAAATAACACTGGCTTCGTATATACTACTGAAGTACTTATTGAACATTACATTTTTAATGAAATACAATTCAGGTGTGCATATGTCGGTGTATTGTCCTCCACTTGGCCTTCCTCTTACGTGCGAATATATGTGCCTAAAGCAAATAGCTTTGCTTATAGGACTTATCTATTGCAGGGGAGAAGTGACCCGCATGAATGTCCACTTCTATGAAGATATGTTCCTGGGTCAACACCGGCACGCACAGTATGACGATTACTACTTCATTGGTGAGTGATTTATATTTTCAATTGTAGCAATACCAATCAAATACAGGCTTGAGAATACTGACAATACGATTCAATCAGCGATCACGTGTTATGTCTTGAAATGTAGCAGATGGTAAACAATTTTAATATCAAGTTAAATCGTGATGTAAAATTTTGATTCCCTATACAAAATAAATAAAGAATATGCGAGGTCAATGGGTTTATCCTATCGGTATTTATTTTTCGACAACACACGGCGACGTTTAGCAGCAATGCAAACGCGCGATTTTCATGCGATTTAAAGGCGATTGCACCGATGCAAACGCGGGTTTGCACCGGTACAAACGCGATAGCATCGATGCAATCGCTTTTAAATCACCAGTGTAGCGATACAATCGCGCATTTGTATCCATGCAGTCGCGCATTTGCATCGCTGCTTAAAGTCGCGCGTGTGTTTAAACTTAGACGATTAGTTACTACGTCACTACTGCATCGCGTTTGCATCGCTGCTAAGTCTCCTACTTACCGTTCTTAATTATATCGTTCGTTTTCTTGGCTACAACTGAGATATACAAAACGAACTGTTATAACCCAACCTAATATGGCTATTTTGCAAAGGTTGATATTTCTATTAAAGCCGTATTTTTCCATAACGCAACGTGCAAGTTTTCATATTTTGCATAAGCCTCAAATCAAAGCAGTTAGGCATTGGCACTCGTAAAGAGTTAGTTAGTTATCGATTGAGTGTAATTTTCTCCAATAAATCGGGTGTTGGGAAGTTAGTTCTTTTTTAAAAAAAGACAAATCGGGACGGCCGCCTAACAGAACCTTATTTAAATTTAGACAATAAATTCAATTACCTAAACATAGATTTTATTTCGTAATTTCTTGCTTGAACATAGGATAAGTTTGTTTTGTAAATACGAAAAACTTGCTTAGCTCGCCATTTTTTCGTAGTCGAAGTCAAAGTTCGACGATTTTCACCTCAAACATGATCGGCCCTTTTCGTTATACCCTGTATCTTTACAGTTTGTCAGTTCAATGTAGGTGCTTAAACATACTTTTGAGAACCAACAACAATTTTTTGGGAGGAAAGAATAGAAAATGCATTTTTTTTGTCAGGAGCGATCGGCGGTCTTCTAAGTTTGTTTCTTGGCTTCAGTATCATCAGCGTTGCCGAGCTACTGTACTTCGTGGTGCTGAGACCAGTTCATGCCGCTTTAAAAGAGACTTTTTGTCAACCGTAGTGCAAACTTTAATATTTTGAAATAAACTGCCGCTTAACTTATTTTACTTTCATTGATTGTTGTTTACACACTTGCCCACTTTTAATCTATACCTAAAGTAATTACTTAGCAGAAATATGAACGACGGACAGCAAGTATATGAGAAACAAGCTCACATTTTTATCATGATGACATCAAGTTGAAAAGCGATGTTGTCTTTTTTGTTTAAATTAAACCTTTATTATTTTTTATTGACAATAATATATAGGGTGCTATGACAATGATATCTAAACATATTTAAATAAATATAATACAAATCGTCACACGCTGCCTGTTAAAATAATGTCGTTAACGTTAAAGCCCTGTTTCTATACTTATGAGATATGAATAAGTTGTTAGGATAAATGTATCTCCTTGCAATAAGCCTGCAAATGACGAATACTCGTTTAGAAGTTTTGGTTTAATCAAGAGATAAGTCCACCTTCTAACTAATAAATATTTCTTTTGTTTTTGTTTGGTCCAATAAATGTATGATTTTTTTTTTTATTTCATATGTAAGCAAATTACACTTGAAATCGTCATACTTTTATTTATTATTATACATTAAACTCTGCTGCTCATTTGTAAGGCAGATTCCTCTGAGAAGAATGACTAAGAAAGTCAAGGGCTTGGAAGTCAATGGCTTGGTTGCTCTTTGTAACCGTCGATAACATATTTTTTTATTTTCTACTCCTTGGACTATTTTTGTAAGATTTGAATAGTGTCAAAAACTACGTGAATTTGCAAAATAATAAATTTAGAGTTCATTAAATGGTCAAATATATATTGCTACAAAAAGAAACCGGAAATGTTATAAAAGACCTCGTTCTTGGCTAGCCATGTGTAAGTGTTCTGTATCTAACTATCCATAATCGTGACAGAACTTTTATCAGCATGAGTTTTGAGGATAATTATTTGGGGTGCCCATGCGGGGTATCAGAGTTGAGAGCATTGAGTGACAAGCTAAGCGCAAAAGTACTGGAGAAAGTGAACAATACTCAGGAGCTGGTGATGATTAACGATTTCGCAAAAGATGCCAACGAGTACTTGTTCAGAAAATGCTTACAGGACAGGTGATGTGAAAATTATTCTTTCAAACAATGCAACCTAACCAAGCTAGTTTGTAGATAAGGTTGTAGTTTCGATCACGTAGCCAGAAGTTAGCCAGTACGCTTAATTCGAAGTTATTTGTAGATTTATAATCTTTCTACTCAATTCTTTCGCACAGCGAGGTTAACTTCAAATTTGACCTTCCATCCTACTGGCTTATACTTACAGGAGTTTTAGTGGGAAAGAGTGAAGTTGGCAAAATATAGACTTGCTCAATGTCATTCATTACTTTAGTGATGAAAAACTTTCACATTTAATCGAATAAATTAATCGAAATGAAAACTCAACCCAACGCTCTGACGTCCCCTTCTACACAATCAATATCGAATTAAATTCGGAGACCTTCTCACAGTAGATATTTAACCCCTTAGAATTTCAGACATTTATTCCTGGCGTTGGGTTCTTGAAGATTTGTCAAAACGCTTAGACGATGCTATATGTTCGCTCAACTACGAGCTCAAGGCGTTGAAGGTTGTGGGCCAGAGAGTGCAAAAGGAAATTGATGATCATTGCATGGGACGGACAAAGCCTGCTGCTTTGTGTCCTTTGAGTGATACTGTTGAAGAGGCTATTGTTCAGGTTAGAAAACTTAGTCGAACAAAATCAGCACTTGTATCAATCTGGTGTATCAAATCACATTGGCGACTAAAATTCCGAACTCGAAACGCGTCAGAAATATATCAGGTTAAAATTAGACATGAATTATAGAAGATATTATCATAACTATCTTTCAATTACTAGTCATTCAACACTCACAACACTCAAGGGCATACAACTGTATCTATAAAATTTTCCCAATGTTTAGTTATCTATTATTATTTAAGACAAGACAAATTCACTATGCATATTATTATGGTTTTGATTCGTTACGACTTCATTATCTTCCCCAGGAGTATGAATTTCTCAAGCAGCAGAAGAAAAACTTCCAAGACTTGGTTATAACATTAGAAAAACAAATAGAAATTCTTACCAAAACGAAGACGAGGATCTCAAAGGACATTCTCATTAAGTCTCAAACCATTGCGATAGAAGAATCTTGCGCCAACAGAAACATGGCAAACGTGGACATTAAAGTTGAATGTAACATCAACACGAAAAGGAACAAGTAAAATCCATAATAAAAACGTTCTAAATATCGTCGTTATACTGCAAAAACCAATTGTCGGAAATTTTCACAGAAAATGACTTAATTTAGTATAACGGGAGAAAATTGCTTATGTAAAATGCAAACATTTTCAAATTTCGGTAAAACATAAAATGTGGAATCATCCGTTAGAATTTAACGTGGGATGACCATGGTGTGCATAAGGAATATTTGTCGTTGAAATTTCATTTGCGTTTATTTCAAAGTCGATATTTTGTGAAATAATTATTTTTTCCAGTATACCGGCGATGTATTTCCATCTAGTATTTAGGTAGGTACCACTCTTTTGTATATTCTTCTATTAAAAAAGTAATTCCTTCTTATTGATGCCACTAAGTGATTGTAGCGGACTGTGTTGAATGGGTTCGGGTGGCTGCTAAAAAAGAGTGAGCAAGACCAAATCAAATGTACCAAGAGCTTATTAATTTATTAGATAACA